GTAGCCTGGTTGTTGTACTGTACCTGGTCTCTCTTTTAGGAATAGTTGTATTTGTTGTATTTTCAAAAATATGTATGGGTTTGGGAGATTTCCGCCACCCTACTCACCCCACCATCTTGAGCCAGAAGTCTACATGCATTTCTTTTTCTTGAAGAGAAGTATAAGGCAGATTTTGGCCTTTTAGAGACATTCTACTTCCAGATATATTGAAAAGTAAGTTTCTAAAGACTCAACCAAGAAACTGCTAGAATAAACAAAATCAGTAAAGTTGCAGGATACAAAATCAATAAACAAAAATCAGTTGCATTTTTATACACTAATGACCTATCAGAAAGAGAAATTAAGAAAATAATCCCATTCACAATTGCATCAAAAAGACAAAAATATCTAGAAATAAATTTAACCAAAGAGGTGAAAAACCTGTACACTGCTAATCTGTGAGACACTGATGAAAAAAACTGAAGACAACATAAACAAATGCAAAGATATTCTGTACTCATGGGTTAGAGGAACTGATATTGTTAAAATATCCATACTACCTAAAGCAATCTACAGATTCAATGCAATCCCTATCAAAATGCCAATGGCCTTTCCCACAGAAATACAACAATCCTAAAATCTGTACGGAACCAAAAAAATCCTGAATTGCTAAAGCAGTCTTGAGAAAGAATAAAGCTGGAGGTGATCACACTTCCTGATTTCAAACTGTATTACAGAGCTATAGTAATTAAAACAGTATGGTAATGGCATGAAAACTGACAGAGCTCAATGGAACAAACTAGAGAGCCCAGAAATAAATCAACATATACATGGTCAATTTATTTATGACAAAGGAGTCAGGAATATACAATGGGGAAAAGACAGTTTCTTCAATAAATGGCACTGAATAGTCACATGCAAAAAGAATGAAACTGGACTCCTTACCCTATGTCATGGACAAAAATCAACTCAACATGGATTAAAGACTTGAATGTAAGATCTGACACCATAAAACTCTAGAAAAAAAACAAAGGCAGTAAGCTCCTTGATGTTGATTTTGCTGATATTTTGGATTTGACACCAAAAGGAGAGGCAACAAAAGCAAAAATAAACAAGTAGAACTACATCAAACTAAAAAACTTCTGTACAGCAAAGGAAATGATGAACAAAATGAAAATCTTCTGAATGGGAGAAAATATCTGCAAATCATAAATATGATAAGAGGTTGCTATCTAAAACATATATATAAGGAACTCAACTAAATAGCAAAAAAACAATCCAATTAAAAAGTGAGTAGAGGATCTGAATAGATATTTTCCAAAGAAGACATACAGATGGTCAACAGGTACATGAAAAGGTGCTCAAAATCACTCATCATCAGGGAAATGCACAGCAAAACTACAGTGAGGTATCACCTCACCTCTGTTAGAATGGCTAATATTAAAAAGACAAGAAATAACAAGCATTGGTGAACATATGGAGAAAAGGGAACTCTTGTGTACTGTTGGTGGGAATGTAAATTGGTACAGCCACTGTGGAAAACAGCATGTTTTTTTTTTTATAGGTTCCTCAAAAAATTAAAAACAAACCATAGGATTTAGGATCCAGGATCCATAGGCTCCAGCAGTTCCAATTCTGGGTATTTATCTAAATTGAAGGGAAAAAGCACACAACTGGAAATACATCTGCACACCCATGTTCACTGCAGCATTATTTACAATAGCTAAGACATAAAGTGTCTATTGATGGATGAATGGATAACGAAAATGTGTTATATATACACAACAGACTACTATTCAGCCATAGAAAAGTGAAGTCAGTCAAAGAAAGACAAATACCATACACTCTCACTTATATGTAGAACCTAAACAAAACAAAACACCAAACTCATCAATACAGAAAACAGATGGGTGTTTGCCACAGTTAGGGTTGAGGTGGGATGGGGAGATGGGCAAAATGGGTGAAGGGGATTAAGAGATACAAACTACCAATTATAAATAAGTCATGTAATATTTTCTGAATGTGCATTACACATCAATAATATTTTTCAAATACTAATTTCCCCTAAACATGTATTATACATAATGTACAGCATGATGAATATAGTTAATAACATTGTATTGCATATCTGAAAGTTGCTAATAGATCTTAGTGCTCATCAGAAGAAAAACAATTTGTAACATGTAGTGATGGATAATAATTAGACTTACTGTGGTGATCATTTTGCAATATATACATATAACAAATCACTATGTTGTACACTTGAAACTAATATGTCAATTAATCTAAATTTCAAAAAAGTAGGTTGTTTCTACTACACACTATCAATGTAAGTAAGTCTAAGAGACCAGTGAGTACTGTTACACAGTGCAAAACCCAAAGTGGATGCTAAGTAAATACCTGTGTAAAAATGTCCATGTTCCTAGTTCCCATTACCAGCGTCTGGCTCTACACTTTTATCACCTCTGCTATATGTTGTGAGTCACCCTCTGCTATATGTTGCAAGTGCAGGGTGCCTAGTTTGATTCTGGTGTCTGGAAACAGTAAAAAAAGAAAAGAAAAACTAAAAAGTAAACATGAGATAAGACATAAAGTAATTCACAAAAGAAGAAATACATATAGCCAAAAAACTATAAAAAATGTTCAACTTCATCAGAAATCAGGTTTGAATCAGAGTAGTAAGACACTGTTTTCTCCTACATTTAAAGTAACAAGTATCTTAGATGATAATACTCAAATGATGGGTATTTCTAGGAAATGCTGATAGTTACGTCAAGGCAACAGCTACTCCTGCCCTGCTGGTAGGAATGTAATTTGGTAGAATCCTCTGCAGGACAATTTTCCAATAAACATCAAATACCTCAGAATTGTCTAACTTTTGCTCAGCAATTCTGTCTAAAGATATGATCATTGATATATCTTTAATATATAAAAGATATAATCAGTGATGCACTAAGAGATCTCTATTCATCATTTAATAAACAGTAAAAAACTGCAAACTATATAAATGCATAAATAAGGGATTAAATAAATGATGGAGCATTTATATGCTTGAGTGCAGCCATTACTCTGTAAATAAGACCTATCATTAAAAAAGTGTTCTACATCATGCTAAATAAGATAAGCAAGCAATAAGAATTATTGACACACTGTATGTTTCTTTATATAAAAATGCAGGCAAATCTCTGCTATTAAAGATCAGGACAGTGGTTACTATTTTCATCAGTGATAGAAGGGAGCATGAAGGGAGCTTCTGGGGTTAGTTTTCTTGTTTTTAATTTAGATGCTGATTATGAAAATATATCAAGCTGCACATTTACATGTACTTAAACATTTATTAATATATATGTGCATTCAAAAATTGTCCACTATAGATTTTTGTTTTTTAAAAATAATTTCAAAAAAATTCTACAAAGACCTTGTTTTACCAAAGTAAATATAAAATATAAAAATACAAGAAATCACCTGACAGGCCTACTAAGTTTTGACCTTGAAGTTGAGCTGGGTGTTTGCTTGCCTTTTGAGCCCCAAAAGACTGTTAAGGGTTAAGGTCATAAATATCCTAAGTATACTCTGCAAAAAAATTCGAATAGAGCTCACTCATCAAATAAAAAAAAAGAAGCCCTTAAAGCACAAACGCAACAGATATTACAAAATATTATATATATCTATATCGATATATCTATATCTATCTATCTATCTATATCACCTTTTCCTGAGCTTAGTTACAAAAACCTAAAAAACAACAGAAAGTCTTAACCTGTTAACAGGTTAAATGCCCTGTAACACTACTTTTATTAAATCATTTAAGTATTATTTTAACTCTATCTAGATAGGTCACACAAATAGCCTTTCAAAGAGCTCATAGTTCATCTGTTAGGAAAAAATTTTTAAGAGATTGTTACCACAAAAAAAGAACCCCAATTATAACGAGATTGCTTTGAGGACTGCCGAATTAGTTTCTATCCTTGCTAAGGCACAGACCCAAACTCAGAATTGCAAAGATTTAACTCTAATTTTTCAAACTCTTCTGGGTAAGAAAACAGCTGTTTTGTGGAGAAGTGGTAAGAAAAAAACTACCCACGTAGTTAAACTACAAAACTACTATTACCTCATTTTTAAAATAGCCTTCTAGGTTTGTTTCTAAGTCCTGGCGCAAGCCCTTAAAAAGGACAACGAGAATAAAAGGGAAACCTTATGTACAAGTTCAGGGAGTGGAACCATTAACAACAAAAAAGTCCACTGGGTACTTACTCTGGGAAAAGCATTCTGTTTATTCTTAGGATGTGAAGTGAACAAAGAGAGAATAAATTTTCATTCCCATGAGAGAATAAATTTTAGAGCAAAGGGAAGATTCGTTAAAGAATTTGATATTTTCACGCATACTTTAAGTGTGCTTTGCAAACCAAACTCACCGGAACAACTTCACGCGCAGTCACACTATACCCTATTTCATGTCTAGATTTGTTGTTTACCCGTCTTACATCATAGAGTTTTCAAAGAATGAAAACAACGCATAACCTTAAAGCAAAGCTATTCCTTAAAAGCAAAATCCAGCCACCCTTTAAAACACGCACAAACATTATCCACGATACTAAGACCTCAGAGTCTTAACCGAATAAGCCGAAAACTTGGGGAGGAAGAAAGCAACCTGGTAGGTAACCCGAACCCTGGCCGCGAGCAGAGCGCTCGCGGCTGAAGGACACACGAGGCCTCGCTCCAGGAGCTGGCGGTAGGCGCCGGACGACTCCGACCAGGCCCCGGGGGACAGCCGAAGGACTTGCGGTGGCCGGCACCGGTTTTGTAACCAGAAAGCGGGGAGATGAGAAGCGACGGGGACGCGCAAAAAGCAAAGCGCCCTCAAGTTTGCCCGAATGTAACGCCCTGGGGATGAAAAGGGCCTTTTCTCTCGTCTGCGGACCGTCGCGTTCGGCTCGCCCCCACTTCAGACTCCCGGCAGGGCTCCGAGTCGACCTCCCGCCCCTCGCGGCCACCCAGCCCACCCGGCCGCAGAACCTCACCTGAGGGGCTGGAGGCGGAGGCGGAGGCGCGGGCGGGGGGCGGCGAGCGCAGTCGCAGCCAGAGGTGCAGCGCGGCCCCGAGCACACACGGGCACAGCAGCACCAGCCAGTTTCGCATTGGCCGCCCCCGCCGGCCCCACCTCGCGACCCCGCCGCTCGCCGCGCTCTCCCGCGTTCCGGCGGAGTGGGAAAGGACCTGTTCGTTAGGAGGCCGAGGGGTGGAGGCCGACGTGGGCGCGACCACTCTGGGACACCCGCCTTCGCGCCTGCGGTAGTCCGGGATACTCGCGGTTCCCAACCCCACACCTCAAGTTCCTCAAACCAGGGGCGGCGGAGGGTCTGCGGGCCAGAGCCCCGCCCCCTCCGCTTGGCCTCCCTCGGCTCCGCCCACTGTTTCACTCGCTCCGCCCCTTCTCTTGTGTTCACCACCACCACCACGCGCCCGCCCGCCAGGTGGGAGCTGAAGTTCCGCTCTGAGCCCAAGTAGGGAGCGCACCAGTGATCCCGAGGCTCGGAGACTACATTTCCCTTAATCCCACGCTCTCGCCTTCGTCAGTCGGCGGTCGCCCAGGAGAAGCGCGAGACCCCATATAGAGCATGCGCAACCGTATTAACTACTACTGCCCCTCGACGGCCGAGGGGAGGAAGTGCTCGGCTACCCTTCGCTCTGAGGCAACCCCAACCAGGGAGGGACCCACGGTTGAGGCGAAGGTTGCCGGTTGCTTCAGGTACAGAGATCTAAGTGACACTTGTTTTAAATCACTCAGAACTTCCTTACGCCGAATGCTGCCTTTCTGTGGAAGGGATTCCGTTGATGTCCCCTTGGCCCGAAGAGCGGGATGTGACAGTCCAAAGCCAGTGTCTTTAGTGGTGAATCATCGAATATTAGTTCTTGTGCATCGTGTACCCGGCTCCTTGCCCGGTTCAGTCCTCTAGAAACTCGGTATGAGTAAGATGGCACCCAGGGGATCAAGCTGTGGAGTAAGACAGCGATGGTCCAGTGGAGAAAACACTGCATGTGCCCGGTGTTAAACTGCGGCTGTGATGGGGGGAGTAGAACAAGGTGCATACCTGCCATGGGACGTGAGCTGTGAGGCCTGGCTGTAGGGCCCGTGGGGACAGGACAGAAGTGACCCCGCCTCCTGTGGCCGCGCACGCACGTGCCCTGGTTGAGGCGGTGCGGAGAGGGGGAAACCCAGGGTATGGTAAGGACGAGGAAAGAATGACATTGAGTGCCTGGTTTATGGTGGGTTTTTGTTTGAATTCCCACGTGGAAACAGGTAAGTATATTGTTGAGAAAAGTCTTGGTTGAAAACCACAGAAAATCCGTTTTCAAAGAGGCTTATGGGAGAAGAATTTTATTCAAGTAACTGAACAGTCCAGGAGGCGACTTCTCAGGCACTGTCAGTACCATACATGGTCTCATTGCATGCAATTTAATTTCAGCAAAACAGCTGTTAAAATCAGTTTGTTTTGTAGTGTTGTCTGTAGTATGCTTAATTTTAAGATGTTTTGGTTTAAGAATTGTATAAAAATTGCAAGCCTAAAGAGTTTACACGGTATTGTAAGCCCAGGGAAAGGAAATGCTGGGGCAAAATACCTCTAAAAACCGAAATCAGTCAAAAGGAGAAATAAAGTTTAAAACCCTTTTATTGCTTAAAAACTGCAGTCCAGCCCTATCCCCTGCTCCGGAAAGAAGCAAGTCAGCGAACAAGCCAGCCCCTCCCCTTAAACTCTCAGGTTCAGACACGCCCTTGGTTGCCATTGACGGAGAGATGAACTTCTCCACCCCTGAGTATATGCAAATGAACTAAAGCCAGGCGAGAGACTCTGGAAATGTTACGATTTTACCCATAGGTATGTTTGTACTTTTTTTTTTTTTTGTAGATAATTATTTTTTATTGAGGGGTAGTTGACACACAGTATTACATTAGTTTCAGGTGTACAGCACAGTGATTCAACATTTATATACATGATAATTCTAGCTACCAGCTATCACCATACAAAGTTGTTACACTATTTTGACTATATTCCTTATGCTATACATTACATCCTGTTACTTATTTATTTTACAATTGGAATTCTGTACTTTTTTTTTTTGAGAGGGCATCTCTCCTATTTATTGATCAAATGGTTGTTAACACCAATAAAATTCTGTATAGGGGAGTCAATGCTCAATGAACAATCATTAATCCACCCCAAGCCTAATTTTCATCAGTATCCAATCTTCTGAAGCATAACGAACAAGTTCTTACATGGAGAACAAATTCTTACATAGTGAATAAGTTACATGGTGAACAGTACAAGGGCATTCATCACAGAAACTTTCGGTTTTGATCACGCATTATGAACTATAAATAATCAGTTCAAATATGAATATTCGTTTGTTTTTTATGCTTAATTTATATGTGGATACCACATTTCTCTCTTTATTATTATTATTTTTAATAAAATGCTGCAGTGGTAGGTAGATGCAAGCTAAAGGTAGAAAACAGTTTAGTGTTATAAGAGAGCAAATGTAGATGATCAGGTGTTGTTTGTACTTTTTTAAGTTAGATAATAAAAATAATTTAATAAATGGGGATTAGGAATATTTTTTCCCCCTTTAAAGGGCTTTGAGTATTTGTTAGTTATCTATTGTTACCTAATGAATTACTCCAAAACTTTTAAAACAATAATTTATTATCACTCACAGTTTTTGTGGGTCAGGAATTTGGGAGCTAAGTTCTGATTCAGGGTCTCTCATAAAACTGCCTGCAGAGGTCAGTTAGGACTGCGAAGGCTTAACTAGTACTGGAGTATCTGCTTTCTAGGTGGCTCTCTTCCATGGCTGGCAAGTTGATGCTGCCTTTTGGCCTGAGTGGGTTTTTCAAGATGCTTCAGTGTCTACACACCATGAAGGCTTCCTTCCCCAAGAGCTAGAAAGCCACAAGACCAGTGCAGGCACTATTCTGCCTTTTATGAAGAATCTTTGGAAGTCACTTATGCAGTATTATATTGGTCACTCAGACAAGCTCTGTTTCACTGTAGAGGGACCACACATGGTGTGAATACCAGGAGGCAACGATCACTGGGGTTCATGTTAGAGGCTGCTACTACACTATATTATGCAAATTTAAGAATCACTGCAGTTTCTAAACACTTTGGGAATCCTTCTGGCAGAGTCTTCTGGTCGGTCCCTATGTACTCTCCATGGCCCCTGAATACACTGAAGATAAAAAAGAAAAATTTTCCTTCATGTGGAACACAGAATTAGTAGGCTGTGATCACTGTCGCCCTTGAGTAAATATCAACAAGATGCCTGTGTCCTTTTCCCAGACTGTTGTTTATACATCTCTTAATAAGGAAGAATTTATAAGGTCTACAAATTTCTTGCTAGGAATTCTTTGTTTAGAAACTATGCTGACCTGCTTTCTACATTTCAATTAAAGAAATAGTAACAACCAATTATTACTTTCTTGACTAAGAGTGTCCTGTTTTTTATCGTCAAGGAAGGTAGTAAAGGCCTCTGTTGATAACCTAAAGTTTTCATTTTGTGATTAAAAAATTAAAATGAGCTAATGCAAAAAAAAGAAATCATCTCTAATTTAGGCAGACCTAGTCATTCAAAGAAGACCTAATTGAGCAATTATTATGTCCCAGGCACTATATAGGTAGTTGGGATAAATCAATAAATAAAACAGATACCTGTCCTGTGGCAGTGGGGGCGGCAGCAGACTGTAAACTACAGATATAATAAAGAAATACATTTTACCAGCAAGTAGAAGATGAGTAAGTACTACAGAAAATATGAAGTAGAGTAGGTTTGGGAGTTGGAAATGTGGTACTGAAATGGGGCAGATTGCAGTATTCGAGAGCAGTACTTAAACAACTGTTCAAAGTAGAATGAGCAGCACTAAAGGGAGGAATAAACAAAACCACCCAAATATATTAACTAGTCAAGATGTTGTTGTTCCTTCCATTACCAAAATGCTTTAACCTACAGGGGAAACTTTACTGGCACTCTGACAAGCCTCTAACAAATGGTTTTGCATAACTTTTTAGCATCTTCAGATCTCACCACAGCCTGAGCTGCCTATATCACTTACTAATGAGGACCAGTGACCCTTCCATTTACTTGTCTACTATCCCCTAATAAACTCAAGACTAAGGTGGGTAAAAATCATAAAAGAGACAATAGGTATAATGGGTTTTAAAAATCCAGAGATGATGTGAACAGTCTATTACAAAGTCAAGGTATTCATAGTCTAAGATGTGAATAAATTAAGAGAATTAGAATTCTCTAATTCTAGGGAGAGGCAAACCAGGAATGGTTAGTCTCTCTGAAGTCAATTCAGTGATAAGAGAAAGAAATCACAGTGTTGTGGCAGCACAAAGCAGGAGGTGTCTGACCCACCCAGGGGCCCCAGCAGAGGTGATCCCTTGAAAACAGGACTGGGGCTTGAAATCAAAGAGATCAATTAAGAGGGCCAGAGGATAAAGCATCCTAGGCAAAATTAAATAAAAAATAAAAATAAGCAAACCCCAGATAGTAGTGACATGGCAATTAGGAAAATGCAAGGAAGGTGTAACCTTAGGAAAGTGAAGCCTGGGGAACCATGAGAAGGTATACAGAAAGCAGAGACCAGATCATGATCATATGCTATGCTATGGAATTTGGATTTTATCTGGAAGGCTCTAGGGAACAATTTTTTTCTGGCTACAAAAAAATAATACATGATTATAAAGAGAAATATTGAAAATGTAGAAGAATCTAAAGAAGAAATCACACTTAAGTCCAAATCATGCATTGTTCTTTTTTATAAAAAATACTTGCAGTCATATTATAAATATGATTTTATATCCATTTATTTTCACCTAACATAAAAATTTTCACATTTAATTAGTAGCCTAAGAATATGTAACTTTTAATCATTTAACAACTTGTCCACATTATAATTTCTTATTTTGTCCTCTATTATTAGACTTACAGATTATTCCCATTTTTCCATTATAGTAAATAATATTGGTACTTCTGGGCATAATATTTTATCCACATTTCAGATGATTTCCTTTTTAAATAATATTTTCAGGCTTTTGCTCATACTGGCATTATATCAATGTGATGTCTGTCTTCAATGGGTAGGTTTCTACTTTATACTTCCTAACCTAGCATTAAAAAAAATCTTTCCTAATTCAAAGGGCAAAATATTTTTTCATTAACAAGGTTGAATATTTTTATGTTTACTAGCTGTTTCTATTTGTTCTTTTGTAAATTGTGTATTTTGCCTTTTATCCATTTGCATGAGCTCTTTATATATTAAGGATAGTAATTTTATAATCATTTTTCATGTTTATTAACCCTTC